TGATGGTGATGATGCTGATGACGAAGGGAGGAGGAGAGGGGAGGAACGCGTGGCACTGCCTTTTCAAAACGAGGACCCAACACCACAGAATGGTTGGAAAAAAACATCGAAGTGAGAAATCGGCCCTGGGGACAGGGTCGGGACTTCCGGGGGCCCGGCGGCCTTGAAAACATGGAGGCGCCGCATGTCTGGGGCCGCGCTCTGGCGTGTGGTCGTCTTCCCGCTCGCCTCCTGAAAGCTGTTCGCCGCAACGGCTGGGTCCACCTCGGGAGCTACCGTACGTCGACGAAATGTTGCACCACTTTTGCCGCGCATCGTCAGCTATATTGCATTGCTCCTCCCCCCCCTCCCCCTGATCTTAATATTGGGCACATGGCAAAGGTCCCTTGGCGCCCGCCCCAGGGCTCGCGACAGAATGTTGCACCACCGAGCCGTTTCGATGAACCCGGGACCGCAGCCAATGTTAAGATTGGGGGGAGGGGGGGGGGGGAAAACGAACATCCATTGCAACATCGGATTGCTGCCTTCACAACACCAGGTGGTGCAACATCTTGTCGATGTACCGTATTGGGCCAGAAGCGGCCCCAGGAGCGGTCCGGTGGCAGATTTTGAGCGGCTCTCTTTGGGCCTCGCCGGCGCCCCAGTGCTGTGCCACGCCGGGCGGCTTCTTCGCCCAGGCTGGGGGCCTCCGGTAACCTCATGACTCATGAAGCGATTAAGGATCCCCCCGGGGTTATCATGAGCACCGCCCCGTAATTCAATAATGAGCACCGCCCTCGCACCGCCCCGGGGTTATCATTAGCACCGCCCTCGCAGGTCGGTCGCGACGGCGCTGCGCACTGCTGGGCCTCGGGGCGCTGGCTTTTTTGGCCGCTCTCGGCCCCCTCTGGCGAGGAGCGGGGCGGCTGCTGGAGAAACTCCGGCAGCAGCCGCGCAGGCCGGGGCGACGGCGCCAGCTTCCACGCGCCCCCCCGGCCCCCGATCCAGTGTTGACTTAGGATTTAGGATTTAGGATTTAGGTCTTTTTCTGCCATTTCGGCCCCCAATTCAATGGCTGCGCCCGCGGGGTGCAGGCTTTCGGCCAGTCGGCGGATCGCCCAATCGCGCCACAGCCTGCCAATTGGAGAGGCCTGACGGCCGGTGCCGCCGACCCTGATCGAAAGGGCTCTAGGAGTGGGAGGAGGAGGAGGAGGAGGAGGAGGAGGAGGAGGAGGAGGAGGAGGAGGAGGACGAGGAGGAGGAGGAGGAGGAGAGGGAGAGAGGAGAGGAGGAGAGGAGGAGGAGGAGGAGGAGGAGGAGAAGGAGGAAGGAGGAGGAGGAGGAGGAGGAGGAGGAGGAGCAATATTAAAGTGGGGGCGCGGGGGGCGAAAACAAAAATCTTAAAAAGTGCAGGATCCGATCCGTCCACCGGAGGGGCCCTGCCGGAGTCGTGATGGGGGCCATGGCGATCCGACCGTGACTCCTTTTCCCAGATCGCCGGGCAAATCATCCTACCGTCCAAGGAGGAGGAGGAGGAGGAGGAGGAGGAGGAGGAGGAGGAGGAGGAGGAGGAGGAGGAGGGGTACAGTCAAGACGCTGAGGAGGAGGAAACCCATCACCCGTCGGGCCGCATGGCCGCTCAAAATCGATTCTCTGGCGACGATGCGACCCCAGGAAGCCACAAGAGGACGACAAACCGCCAGGGATGGCCGCCGTTTTTTCGGCTGTCGGGAAGGGCGACCAGGGAGGCCAGCGAAAGGGTATGAGCTAGCGAACCAATTCACCAGACTGGTTTCTCTGCATGGCGTCTCCCAGCGCCGGAGGCGCCAGCTGTATCGATCGAGAAAGCGCCCGGCGGCGGGGCCGAAGCCAGCTGCCCGCAGCAGATGTCGTAGCTCCGCACACACATCGCCGATAGATCGGCGGTGCGCCCCCGAGGGCAAATCTGCTCCTGGGCAGGGCGGGCCGTCGTGCCCCTATCGGCGATGAGTGGGCGATTGCGGTCGATGCTCTCCTCCCCTGAGCCCATCCCCCCCGAACATTGCCCCTTGGCCTTCGGGCTGGGAGCCCGAGGGGCGCTGTCGAATTGGAGGGTGCTGAGCCTGTGCATGCATGATTTCTTGGAGCTCAACGCACTGGCGCGGACGGGGGGAGGAGGAGGAGGAGGAGGAGGAGGAGGAGGAGGAGGAGGAGGAGGAGGAGGAGGAGGAGAAGGAGGAGAGGGAGGACGAGGAGAAGGAGGAGGAGGAGGAGGAGGAGGAGGAGGCCCATCGATCTTTGGTGGAAGCGTCACGCCTCCCACGGCAAAATCATCGGACACCAGGCGCCCAGCGCCTGCCTCCGGAGGCCCAGGATCAGAGCGAGCAGCCGCCCTGCCTTCGGCAGGGCGCCAGAGGCCCGGGAGGGCAGGAGGTCTCCAGAGGCGTCCTGAAGTCCCCCCTCCTCCCCCTCCTCCCCCTCCTCCTCCTCCTCCTCCTCCTCCTCTTCCTCCTCCTCCTTCTCCTCCTCCGCCTCCTCCTCCTCCTCCTCCTCCGCTTCCTCCTCCTTCCAGCAGCACTGTACTGCAGGCTGCGCAAGAAAACATCAAAGAGGCTATGCCTCGGGCCTCGGGCGCCCCTTCGGGGCAACCCGGGCACCCCCCTGGAGCGCCCTCTCGGGGCGGCGCAGCCCCCCGCTGGCACCCCGCAGCTGCAACGCCGCGGGGAAGCTCTACGAAGACGCCCAGGAACCTAGAGTCGCGAACCCTCGCCCCTCCCTGAGCCCGTCCCCCCATCCCGCCCCCTTGACGCGGCCCCAGCTCCTCCCCCCCTCCTCGTCCCTGATCGTCCCCGGCCCTCTTCAAACCTCGATCCTCCTCCTCCTCCTCGGCCCTCTTCCTCGGCCCTCCTCATCGGCCCACTTCTTCCTCTTTTTCCTCCTTCTCCTCCTCCTCCTCCTCCTCCTCCTCCTCCTCGGCCCTCTTCCTCGGCCCTCCTCCTCGGCCCTCCTCCCGCCAGGCCCGAGGAGGCGGGCCCTCCTCCGCAAGAGAAGGAAGCGCGCCGCGGCGCCTCGGGGCCGCTGCGCCGCCGCTGCAGCGGCGGCAGCGCGTCCCTGGGCGGCTCCGCGGCGCGGCGGGGGGCGGGCGCCGGGGGCGGCGCTCCGTCGGCCTCGGCGCGGGGCCCTGGCTCGTCGCTCCTCGCTCGTGGCTCGTCTTATGTCGGGCACGTCCCTCTCCAGGCGGCTTTCGGGAGAAAGCTGCACAGATTTGCAAATATAGGAAAATTCGTCCCCATGCTATTATTTTCCACTCTTTTTGGATATTTCTCGACGAGCCTGAAGCCAGGACATGCCCGCCTTCAGGCTCGTCGCTGGTCGCCTCCTCCGCTCCGGACCTGCCCGCGGCGCGAGCAAAACCATCGCGGCGGGGGCTCTCTCTGCTGCCGCCCTCGGCCTCTTCTGCGGAGGCCCCCGCCGCAGCCACGGCGCTCGGGAGGAGGAGCCGGCCTCGGCGGGGAGGGGTGGGGACCGCGGGGGCCAGCGCCCCTCGCCTGGGAGGCACGGGGACCTGCCAGTGCTACGAGGTGTCCTCCTGGGAGGCGCGCGTGCGACCCGAGGATGTACAGAAAGAGGCCCAGTGGCCCGACGACGGGAAGCCTCCCACAGGGAGCCCAGCCCTGGACCCCCAGGGCGTCCACGGATTTTGGGTATGGGGACGTCACGCTTTCCAGGGCGAGACCGTCGAAACCCAAGAAACCCGGGGCACCCCGGAGGCAAGCAGGGTGTCTCTTGGCATGGGCTTCCACTGTAGTGCGCCCGTCTTGTAGCATATCGTTTCCCGAGCGGTGTGGTCAGAAAACGCCCTCCACGAGGCACACACTATGTAAGAGCTCTCGGTGCGCGCGTCGCCCCCCGGGGGGGCGACGCACACATAGTACGCATGTTGGGGCGACGCCGATCCCAGAGAGGCTCCAGGATGCTTCTTCGGCTCCGCCTCCTCCACGCTGCGCTGCTGTGCTGCTGCGCTGCCGCGAGGAGAGCGCCTGCCGCAGGCAGCTGCACGGTGTAGCGGCCGGGGCCACCGTCGGAGGAGTTGAGGGGTGAGGAAGAGAGTAAGGCTAGCTCCGGAGTGCAACAGCTTCGGGTTACAAGACTACTGCAAACAAACCAACAACATGGCTTGATATCGCACGCGCGCTCTACGGACTCGTTCGTGGCTGCTACATCTGGCCTCACCGACGTTTTCCCCGAAAGCCACACGTCCCCTCCTGCTGCCACCGTTGCCCACTCCGCCTCCTCCTCCAATCATGCTTCATTCAGTATCTAGCGCCTGCAATCTGAGCGTCTCTCCAGCCTCCGCCAAGTGTGCTCGTGTCTTTCGGCTCTGGGTGGCTTGGGGGGGAACTCGTTCCAGGGCATGCTGGGTGGTGAAATTCGCTGTGATGTGGTTCCCCTTCATGTTCATGGTATGGTTGGATATGGCGT